CTTTGTTCAGGAGCCTCTGACCAGGGTTGCTACCAGTCGGCCATCTTCCCAGAATCCCCCGATAGCTTTCTTTTTAGCATTTTTTATCACTCTTTAGACAGAAAGGTTCTGCTTTTTTTAATTTATTCTCAATCAGTTGTTTGTTTGGTGATGTGTCCAGGGATTTTTAAATTTTCATCTGTTTCTTTAAGTGACCTAATCAAGAGTTAGAAATCGGCAAGTCCAGGGCAAACAGTCTCATCCGTGGATTGAAAGGGTTTGTGCATAGCAGAATGATTTCACAACTAACACACATGAAAAGTCGTTTTGTGTGTTTTTACTTCATTTAGCTTGAAATGAATTCAAGTCAGTAATATCTCCTTGGCCATGTTTTTTCTATTTTAAATTGTCCATTTGTCTCATATTGAAGCTACTTGGCTAAAGCCTTCTTTAAATGAAAATGAAATATACGGACAAAGAAATGTCTTCCCTTTGCGATGTCCTGAAAAGAGGATTACGACGTCCTTATATATTAGACTATAAAACAGCAAAAATGAAAACAAGTATTGATGGCATAAGGAGTTTATGACCATTTTTAGAGGTAAAATCCTTCATTCCTTGGAAATCAGCCTCCAAAGTCTAAAACTAAGCAGACGTGTGGGAGTGGTCCCAGGTGGAGCCTGGGTACCAGGTGCACCACGCTAAGCATCCCCTCGAGGACAGGATCAAAGTCAGCCCTTTAAATTGGTTTTAGCAACTTGGCATTCCAGTAGTTGTAAACTATTATTAGTATACCCAATGGCGCAACTGGACAGTTTAACCTTTGATTAACCACCACTGTTAATGAAGGAGAAATAGTTCATTGCTCAATGGACACCAATGACTGAGGAGCTGTAAAGTCAATGGCTGGAAATGTTTCTTTTTAGTGGTTAGTTTTACCTAATTTGTTTTCAGACACACGTTTTATTTGTTTTTAACCATACCAGTGTCTTCTCAGAACACCTGCTTTCCAATGATAGATCTTTACTGAAGATCACCAGTGATATTCCCCCCACTCTTTTTTTGGTTCCATGGCCTCCTCTTCTTTTGGTTAAACATCTGTTCAACCATTATTCACGGGCACAGCTCTCCCAGGGAAATAATGACCGTCATTTACTAAGCGATCTTTTTGTGCTGTTCACGAAAGCAAGGGCCTTGTTGGATACAAAAAGTTAATCCCCGTAACACTCCTCTGAGTTAAGATCCTTATGACCCCCCCCCCAACCCCTACTGCAAAGGCAGACACCCAGATTTCCAAGCTTACCTATAAGCCTGGGCTCAGGCTTGCCAGGCTGGCTACTAAGAATGAATATTAGTATGACCCGTATGTAGTTACTCAGACTTGAGTGTGTATAGATTATTCCCGCTGCCTTTGTCTATTCCAAAGTCCTTTTATTCCCTTACTTGTTGATCTAGATTCTTTTTACCTAGTCCACTATGTAGGTCCTTGAATCCGTATCACAGTACTCTACATATCCACCACTCATCAACTGTGGTGGAAATGTGAGGCAGTAATTACCCATCTCCATAACCCACAGGAACTCCCTTCAGTATCTCTAACCCCTACTGGAGCCCGATTCACTGTCTCACGGCATTCTCATACTGCTCCATATGGGTTGGGTTTGGTTTTTCCACCACCCTTTTAAGGGCAGAAACCATGTGTCATGGGTCCTTGGTCTTTCCTGCTATTTCTGTTACACATCAGGTCTACAGATACCAACAATAAAAAGTGACTTCGTTACCAAAGAAAAGTGATTTTTTTAAATTTCAGATTGATGTGATGATTATGTTACAATGTTTGCATTTCTTAGGTATAGTTCAAGTTGGGGTTGACAGGGAAATTTTTAACAACCTGGTTATAGAGAACCCTTTGGTAGCGTCACGTAGAAGGTTACCCCGTAAGAGAACTTCAATAATTGGCCACAGGGCAGCTTGGAAGTTATCTGTGAATTTTAATTAATCATGAAGTTATTTCCTTCCATAGGAGGTCAAGCTCAGGCATCATTATTACTGTTGCTTTCATTTGGGTCGTGTTTTTTAATTCAAAGTATATTCAAATTCATTATCTCATGGCTTCTGCACCATAACCCTGGCTCTACATATTATTATTAATGTCAACCTCCTTTGACAAATGAGGAAGCCAAAGTTCAGAGAATTACATGACTTGCTCGGGGAGTTAATTGTACAATTGATATGAGAACGCGTGGCTTTGTGAGGTCTGAATTTTCTATTCCTCTGGTGCATAATGAGGCCATCCTGTCAAACAAACTGATCCAGAGTGGAAAGTACAAGCTATTCAGCAACAACAAAATGTACAGTCCTGTCAAAATCTAAATAACATATGTATAGAATTTACATTTTGAAGAGTGTGCACCAGTTGTTTCTACTGCTATTGGTTTGGTTTCCAACTGCAATTCAGAAGGTGCATCTCCAGATCAAAATACATCACTATAATACAGACAGCACATGCACAAAGCAAAGGCTTAATAAATGCTTATTTTATCAGCTACACAACTGTACTGGCCTAGAAATTGGCACGGTGACTGTTTCTACCTACACAGGTTAAGGGACAAAAGTAATGAAATGCAGCAGGCCTCCTCCCAGCTATGTGACACCAGGCACGCCATTTAATCTCATAGTTCCTCTCAGTTACATGACACACCCTTACACCATTTCACTGTCTTCATCACTAGCTCTTTTCACAAAGCAAGGGAAACAAATCTCTCTTCCCGGCCATGTTTCCAATCTGGAAATAAATGTATTGGTAAACCAAAACTGACCCCTTTTTTTGAGACACAGTAACTCTGTCACCAAGTGTAGAGTGTCGTTGAGTCATAACTCACAGCCACCTCAAACTTTTGGGCTCAAGAGATCCTCAGCTTCCTGAGCAGCTGGAACTATACGCACCTGCCACAACACCCTGCTAGTTTTTCTATTTTTAGTAGAGATGGGTCTACGATCCTGCTCGGCTGGTCTCCAACTCCTGAGCTCAAGCAATGACCCGCCTTGGCCTCTCAGAATGCTGGGATTACAAGCATGAGCCACCACGCCCAGCCTCCAAAACTGACTTTCAACATGGACAGATTCATCCTGTTTTCTATTTATAGAACAAAGGGGGTACCAAACACATACTTAATCCTAACCCAATTATATACAAATACCATCGTGATTCGTGGCAGTGCTAATAATCTTACTTACCTGCCACATGCTGTATTCCTGACCTTTGTTTCCATCATCATCCACAATGATGCCTGAGATTTTTGACGTGGGTAGTTCATATACGTTTATAATTTGCCATTTTATATCGTTTTAATTAATTAATTTATTCTTTCTTTTTTATTGCTTGGGATTAGTTGAGGGTACAAAGAATTTGGTCACACTAATTCCATTTGTTAGATAAAGCCCCTCTTATACTTGTGTCCTGCCCCCAAACGAAGTGCTATACACTGTACCCCCATTTCCCTCCTACCTCCCCTCTCCCTGCTCCCTCCCTCCTCTACCCCCACCTTAGATCATCTACTGCCTTCATATCAGAATAGAGTACATTGGATTCTTGCTTCTCCATTCTTGTGATGCTCTACTAACAATATTTTATATTTGTTTAATTACTATTTGAACCTTAAAATTAAATGCGTATTTTGTCCTGGAATCCTTTATACCAGGTGTCCTCAAACTAGGGCCCATGAGCCACATGTGGCCCGCCTAGGATATTTATCTGACCCACCGGGTGATTTTGCCACCGCTGCCTGTCCTGCTTAGCAGCCAACTCGTCCCGGGACCCGCAATCTGGCCCTCCAACGGTCTGAGAGACAGTGAACTGGCCCCCTTTTTAAAAAGTTTGAGGACCCCCGCTTTATACCTTTACTGATTTCAATCTCCAACTTTCTATATAGGATTATTCTTTATCAAACTGCAACTTCTTAAATACACTAAATTAAGTAAATATTGGCCCAACCACGAAAGTAACGAAATACATTCCATGATTAAAAGCAAATTTCTTTCTTCATTCTCCCATTCCCAGCCCTTTACCCTTTGAAATAACTGAGTGTCAATGATAGAACTAAAATGCTTTTTAAAAATTTTTGTCTAATTCTATCTTAACATGGCAAATGTTTCTTACATAATAATTCGCTTTCATAATTATCAAAATAGGTAACCCTCACAACCTCATTATTAAAGCCTTTTCATCAGGCACAAGATAAAGGCCATGGAGGTCTGAATTCCTGATTATATCACATTTATAAGCTATTAATAAAATAATTGATAGTGCCTGGTGAGCAGGCCTTCTCACAGCTGTGTGACACCAGGCACTCCACTTAACGATACCAGGAACGACATGTATCAAGGTCACAGAGAGGCCTTCACAAACCAGCCCGGGAGTATCAAGGTCACAAGGAGGCCTGCATGAACCAGCCTGGGAGTATCAAGGTCACAGGGAGGCCTGCATGAACCAGCCTGGGAGCATCAAGGTCACAGGGAGGCCTGCATG